GTATGCTTGGGAATGGCTCCGTTCTCTGGACACATACCAGTCTCCCAACTGAAACCATCCAACATCTTGAGAGATAGTCAGGTGCTGTAACAAAGTTGGCATCATCACATAGCCCATGAGCCACCTGCAGGCCTTGCCATAGTCCAGTCAGGCCACGGGATTCCCATTGATCCCCAAAGCCTTCAGCACCCCCAGAGAAAAAATCAATTTAAAAAACCCACCTAAATACCCTAAAGGCGCCAGTTCCCTTCTGATCTTGGAAGCCAAGCAGGGTCAGTCCTAGTTAGTACTTGGATGGGAGATTGCCAATGAATACCAATGAATGTAGGCTGCATTTCTGAGGAAGGAACTGGCAAAACCACCTCGGATACTCCTTGCTGAAGAAAACCCTATGAAATTCATGGGGTCGCCATAAATTGGCTGATGACTTGAAGGCACATGTGTGTGTGGTGTGTGCCTTCAAGTCGTTTCCAACTTGTGACAACCCTAAGGTGAAATTATCATGGGGTTTTCTTGGCAAGATACACACACACAATCCACCCCCACCCCCACATCTTTCATCTCTTTAAACCAGATTTGGCACACATAAATATTCTGTTCCAGGAATCCTGGCATGTTTTGTTTCCCAGCAGGACCTTAGATTCTTCAGAGAACCAAGACTGGAAGAATGACTCCCCTTGCATGCCCCATTTCTCTGCAGAATGGGCCACCTAGCAACCTGCCCAGCAAGTGTCTTGCTTCCCCAAAAAATCCCAATGATTTCCATGGGCAACACCTTTGCAGGATCTTGAGAGCTCCCCAAAAGCATCCCTATAAACACTGTTGCTAGCTCAGCTGCTGAGTCAGGAGGTGGATTGCACCAGTTTCAATGTCAGTGAGGAAAGTGACTTGGACTCTATTCCAAGTTTTGATCTGAAGCTTAAAGGAACTTTCCAAGATGCTTAACTGATTTGGGGGGATAGGATAAAGCACCTTAGATTTCACCTTTCAAGTCTGAATTAAAACCTAGGGTGGATGAACTGCACCACTCACATAAGGGAGCCAACATGTCCCTGAATGGTGAGAGAGAATTGAGGTCCCACAAGTCCAAGCGATTTCCCACGCCTCGTGTAAACAAACTTTGCACACAGCTTAGAAAAGTTCCTTTTGGGGAGTTTAGTTCCCAGAACCCCAAAGCAAGCATGGAGCTGAAGAATTGGTGAAGACAGAGCTGGCCATCCCAAGACAAACCACAGAGAGATCTAAAGTCTCAAAGGCACAACTTTATTGACCTTTATTTTCCCAATCCCCCAGGAGTTGCAGCCAGAGAACCTCAGCAGGGTGGGAGCCTGCCTTGATCAGGTTCCCCAAAGGTCCTTTGAGCATTTAACATGCATGACAGAAGGGCAAAAAACTATTAAGAGTGTGTGGGACTCTGCGGGGAGGTCAGAGGAGAAATGATCTTATGATGCTCTGCATGGCACTAATGCGCCAAAGCAGATTAATGGCTCTAGGGGCTTTGAAGGCAAGAAAAGGGAGACGGGGGAACTAATTGGAGAGTTATGCATGAAGAGAAGGAGGATAGAGTGCATACGATCTTCCTCAACCCTTCAGCCAGGAAATCAAAGCTTCTGGCTTCCCTTACTTGGCCACATAGTACTAGAGAGTAGAAGTGGGTTGCATCCATCACTACTAAGTCCCGCTTGACCTGTGGATATCCAGTGAGTTATGCGTTTTCTGGAAGGGTTGTATTTCTAGTCTGCACAACATGTTGAATGGTTGCATGCACATGATTTGTTTATGTTTAGGCTACCGCCCGCTCTGCCACAAAATTTGGCTTCACTCTGCAATTGGACCCCACAAATATGCCATTTTGTCAGAGACAGTCCCAATTACGGTTGGCCTTCCATATCCATGGATTCTTTATCCGTGGATTCAAGCATCCACGGCTTGGAAATGTTAAAAAGAATATATACATTCCAAAAAGCAAACCTTGATTTTGCGATTTTGTAAGAGACACCATTTTACTTGTATTTAATGGGACTTGAGCATTCATGAATTTTGGCATCCACTGAGGGTCCTGGAACCAAAACCCCAGTGGACCTACGGTAATGCTCTTTCGTCCTACTTTTCCAGCTGCTTTTAAAAGTGTCCTTTGATATCTCCTCTCTGTTCATCTGGGGATGGGAAGTTACATTTTCTGCT